CCCCTGCACACACCCCCACACCCCCCACCCTCTCCCGTTTCCCCCTATTGCTCTAAGTTAACACATTGAAATTTAATCTTCCCAAACCCTCTCCTCAGTCCAGGTACCTGGGAGGCAGCCAGGGAAGGAGAAGATGGGAAAGGCCAGGCACAGGGAGCAAGACCAACTGGTTCCAGATTGGAAGCAACTGGAAAGAGGTGGGAGTCCTGTTGTTTCCAGATGGATAAACTGGGTTTTGGTTCTGTCTCCTTGGCGAGGTCCCAATAGCAAATGAAGCTCCATCCTCAGCAAAGGGAAGAGAAATGAATGAAAACAACCAAGTCCTCACCCACAGGATGGGGCTTTGTTGGGTTTCTCAAGGGAATGGGACTGTAAGAAGCTGTGCTGGAGGTGGCTGCTCCAAGGCAGGAGGGAACTGGTCCCACTGCTCCCTGGGGGATTTTGGCTCAGATCCATCAGTGGGGATGGGTGGGAGGCAGGAGATTCCCTTCTCCAGCAGCCACATCTGTGGGCCAGGCATTGTCCCCCTCACATGTCCAGTGGTTCCCCCTCATATGTCCAGTGATTCCCCCTCACATGTCCAGTGACTGCCCCTCACAAGCAGCATCTCCCACCACAGCCACCAAGAGGAGCATTGGGTCCTCTCCAGGAACATGCCTGCTTGGACACAGATCCCACCTGGAGGGAACCCAGAGAGGTTCAGGGCGTGGCAGCAGACGAATCCAAGTTGGAAAGATGTTCAGGTTATGGGAATGGAGGAGCACCCAGAGATGGAGAACACGGAGACCTCAAAGCCTGATGCCCAAACCCTTTTGTGCAGTGAAGAACAAAGCCCTCAGCTTGGCCAGGCCAAGGAAATATGAAATAAACCAGACAATGAAGAAGTGGAAAACCCCTCCAGGCACAGCACTGGGACCAGTTTAGGACCAAGCCAACCTGGGGGAGCCAACAGAGCACCGGGCACCACGGGAAGACAGACACAAACTTGCAGGGAGCATCCCTGGAGAGTCCCTGCTCCAGCCACGCAGCCACCACCGGGCCCGGCTCCGGGACATTCCCACTCTCCCCACAGCCATTCCTGGGAGAGCAGAGCTGGAAACCGGTGGTGGAAGGTGGGAGGGTGGGGGGGGTGTGTGCACGGGTCCTGCATCCCACTGGGCTCGGCTGTGCTGCTTCATCAACTCTGCTCCTTGTCCCTGACCAGCAGCACCGTGTGTTGGCCACCGCTGGACACCGCCAGGACCAGCCGGTTCTCCAGCTGCTTCCCCGTCATCTCCACAGGGCTCAGGACGTCCTCATCCTCTCCTGTGCCCAGCTGGTAGTTGGTGCCCATGCCCCAGGCAAACGCTCGTCCTACAATGGAGGTGGGGACATGTTTTGACCTCCAAATGGCTTCAGGATAGAGTGGGGAAGGGGATAACCCAAGGGGACTTCACACCCGGGGGCAGGGGTTGAGCCATGGGTGCCAGAAGTGGAGACAGGAGGAAGAGGAGCAACTCCAAGAGGCCTTTCACCACATCTCCAAGGCAGCCTTTTGCCCCCCAGGGGGTGGGGAACCAGACAAACCCTCCTCCCCACAGCCATGAGCTGCAGAAGCATCACAGCACCCGAGGTCATGGTTTGGAGAAGGGACCAGCAGGACAACTCCCCCCCCCCGGTCACCACCCTGTTAGGAGCCCCTGCCCAAGACCTGCCAAAATATTTGAGCAGCTGCTGCCCCAGTTCCCCTAGGCCAGAAGATCAATCAAGTCCTGGCTCCAGTCCTGACCCAGCCATGAAGCTGTGTGGGACCAACCAGATCCAGGGGGTGGGGCCGGGACAGATGGCTGAAGGGAGGGGAGGGGACAGAGGGTGACATTCCTAAGCCCAGGGTGGCCCCAGGCACTCACCATCGCTGCTGACAGCGTATCCCACCGATGCTCCGCAGGCCACCGAGCTGATGCTGGGGAGCTCCGGGATGAGGGTGGGCGTGCTCTTCTCCTCTGCCCCCGCCCCCAGCCCCAGCCGGCCGTACTCTGCCCTCCCCAGGCTGTAGGCTTTACCTGCAGCACCACAGAGACACGGGAGAGGTGACACCAGGGGACAGAAAACAGCCACAGGTCCCAGTCGCACCCTCTGGGCCCAGGCTGACTCCTGGAGGAGCATGGTCCATCCCTGCTGCACCCAAGCAGGAGGTGCAGGGTGGGATGGATAGCCCTGAGCTCCCCCAGAATCGAGAGGTTGGAGCAGAGTCCATAGCACCAGTGAGGTTGGAAAAGGCAGATATGGTCACAGAATCATGGAATCTTTTGGGTTGGAAAAGCCCTTTAAGATCCCCAAGTCCAACCATTCCCCCAGCCCTGCTCAGGCCCCATGTCCCTCAGCACCATCTCCAGGGCTTGGAAACCCCTCCAGGGATGGGGCCTCCACCTTGGGCAGCCTGTCCCAGTGCTTGACCACTCCTTCAGTGAAGAAATTGTTCCCAATGTCCAATCTAAACCTCCCCTGGTGCAACTTGAGGCTGTTTCCTCTTGTTCTAGCCCTTGGGAGAAGAGGCCAACCCCCCTGGCTCCAACCTCCCCTCAGGCAGTTGCAGAGCCAGCAGGTCTCCCCTCACCTCCTTGTCTCCAGGCTGGACACCCCCAGCTCCCAAAGAAGACCTGTTCTCCAGACCCTGTCCCAGCACCATTCCCTGTGATCCTCCCTGCTGCAAATCCAGACCACCCTTATTGCCTTCAACACCAAGGACTTGGAGGGCTCCAGCACATCCCCCTCACCCCAACACCTCTCCAGCTGGGACCAGGGCTGTGCCAGTGCCCCCCACCCTCCTTTTGTGTGACCCCCACCCACCACTCAG